ACTTTTTTTTTTTTTTCAGTGGTGGACAACTGCCCTTGGCTATTACATGCCATACAGCAGACACGAACACCCACCTATGAGAAAGCTATCATTGAACAGCAGGATTTTGAGAAACAAGTGAAAGTTGTTCAAAATACCAGTCACTGGTATAAATTTCACCTACATAACAAAGGTTGCATGTATTTGATGCTAAAGGTTTTAACTTTAAATGATGCACTGGAGAAAAACACTGACTTCACATATACGATAGTGAGTTCTGACCTGTTACTATTAACAGATAATTCTATGAAAACATTAAACATTAGCTGAATGCTCAACTGCTGCTAAGGAAAAACAAAAACCAAAAAACAAACAAATAAAAAACCTTAGGAGTTACTACAGAAGAAATAAAAACTAGAAAGTCATTATGCCACTGAATAAATCCGTTGTTCACCCACATCTTAAATCCTGTGTGAGTCAGTCTCAAAAAACAGTAGCAGATTCAGAATAAAAAAGTCAAAAACCCTCAAGGAAAATCAAAGATTGGCTTGCTTTGAGACAGAGCTCTTCAGCATGGGAAAAAAAAGACAATTGAGGAGGGGTATGGTAAAAGCCTACAGAATTATGACAGGTATGGATGGGTATCAGCTGGTCAATGTCTCCTTTAGGGGCATCAAGTGAAGCTAATGAAGGTTCAAATGGGAACACAAGGAGTCAATTCTTCACAAGTAGCAGAAATGTGGAGCTCCTTGTAAAGGAATCTAGTGAAGGTTAAAAGTTTGTCCAAGCTCAAGGAGGAAGTGAGCAGGTTTATGTAAGAGAAATTCTTTGAATTACAGAAAAATTACACTGATGAGCTAATTTCTCATCTGAAAATGAGTTTGGAGTTTGGGAGAATATCAGGAAACTTATCATACACACTTGCCCTGTTTTTAGTTTTCCATACACATGTACTTACAGCTATAGTTGGAAGCAGCATCTGGCATTAGACCAGCCTTTGGTCTGACCCAGTAGAGCCAGTCTTATGTTCTCACATGACCATTTAAAACTCAAGGGTTTTAGTCAATAGAAAACAAAAGATGATGTTTCAAAAGCAGCTCTAGAGATGGCAAACTACAGGTATTGCATGTTTTGCAGGCTGCTGTAGCGGCTTAAAGGGTATGAGGTTTTTTTGGCTCTGAACTCTTCACCTCAGCCAAAATAATTCAAAATTTATTTAGCTCTAGTTCCCTAGGCAACAAGGCAGGAAATGAAGAAAGGAAGACACCCCCTCCACACACATCTTTTTTTCTAGGTTCCAGAAGAGCAGGACAATAGTAAAGTAGCAAAGGTAGTAAAGATCCCTCACAGCTCCTTTTACATGTCCTTCAAAAGCTGCATAAAACAGTGACTACATGACAACAGCATTGTTTTAAAATGTGGTGCTAGCCTCCAAATTTCTGGCCAGCTGGTCACTTATCCATTGGAATTCAAACGTTTCAGAGAAATGAGACTCTTTGTTTTGTTTCCAAGACAACAAGACACATGCCTTGGCAAACAAGTTTGTTTATGCTCATACCTCATGCCACCTCCTCTTCTTCCTCAGACCAACCTGACACCAACAAATTTTAAGACAAGCTCACCCTATTCTAAATTTTTCAACAAATGAAGTACTTTTTTTCTTTTATCACTGCCATACAAGAGGACTCACTAGGTTCCTGAAGGGCAAAAGATGAGCACAATCTTTTTAAAGTCAAAGGACTTTCCTTCTAAACTGAATACTTTCCCTATGATACATACTGTCCTTGATAAACACACAATTTTGTACAGACCTAATCAGGTAACATCTAGTACCTGAGTGTATTGTTTAAAACCTCTTAATTCATTTTTTACTCAGGAGGAATACACTCATCCTACTTTGCATGTAGAGCATTCTTCTGAAACACCCAATAGCAATGAAAGCAAAAATTAATTACTTCAGTGACTTAAAAGGTATCAGTAATTGCGTTGCCTAGAAAGACTTCTAATGTACTTACCGACAACGCAAGACTGAGGATGGATGTTGCATAGTTAAAGCTGTGGACTACTTTGTAGGAAGTAGTACTGTAAATCTTCACATGCCTATACAGAAGAGTAATGATTAAAACCTCGTTAGTAATGCCTTATTGTAGACACCTTGCAGGAATTTCATCACTCTCAACTTCTATAGATCATTTAAGGAAACCGAGTATTTATACAAAACATTCTTCAGACTACCACTGAGCTTCTTAGTTATTACCTCTGCTGCAACACAAAGGTTCTGTTAAAAGATATGCAAAAGTCAAGAAAGGATTACCCTTACCCAAAAAAGATGAAAGTGGGACAAGGACAGAAGAAGAAATTGAAGGCAGATGAAGTGACTGACTTCAGCAATGCTTATTAGGACACACTAAGACAGTGTTTCTTCAAATTTCTTCTTAAATTTTAAATACAAGATCTATTGACAATTTCTGGAAATAAATCCATAGATATTCTTGTATCCGGCTGCTTTTTAATTATTTGGTTGAAGGTAGGAAATATTTAACAAATGGGAAAACAAAACATTATCTTACAACAAGTATGAACTTCAGTGTTGTGAGCACTGAATGAGAAATAGCTGCACAGCTAGTGTGATCCTTCAGCTTATGCTTTGTAATCATAAAGCCTGAAGAAGCCTATGAAGTACAGGAGGGAGGGAGGGAGGGAGGGAGGGAGAGAACAGACCACTGTCATTTTAGACCACTTCATATTCCTAATGTCTCAGAGACAACAGATTGGGTACCAGTACTCATCAACTCAACCCAAACAAGCAAACAAAAAAGGAAGGAGGACATATTTCACCTGTGCACCTTGAGTACAAAAAGCAACAGCACAGAGACACAAAAACCAGGCTCTCTAAAGGTGAATACTAATACACTTTCAGTCATTTAAACTGTATTAAAGTTAAGAATAATTACTTGACGGAGACTGCAAATGTCAATTTAGAGATTCAGAAAAACGAATGTTTATTCAGAAGTTCCTCACATGCATTCCCAAATGGCACATGCAATCCTTACTGACTTTCAGGCTAATAAGAGGAAAAGGTTATTGTATATCACAGTATGTACCTTGGCCCCAAGACATGTTTCAAACAAGTTGTATCTCTAACAGTTAAAAAGTGTTTAAGCCCAAAAACCATGCACAGATTCACACTGATGTATAACAATTTTCAAAGGAAAAAAGCCCTAAAGAATTTAAATAACAACAAAGCCACAAAATATACTAACCTGTCCAAGGATCCTGACAATAACCTTTGTCCAGAGCTGTTCAGGCATAAACAAGTTACAGTTTTATGGTGATTTTTAAGTGAAACTAGCAATTGTCCGCCTTTTAGTACATCCCAAACTTTGACGTATCGACCTCCTGTGAGAAGGAAGCACACAAAACAGTTTGACATACATACACATTTATGCTTCTCTGGAGAAGTTTTCAGACAGTGCCTCCTTCGTAACACAGCTTTCTGCACCTACTCACCCTCCCCATCCATTATGACTATCTCCTGGGACAAGACACACTACAAGCCTGCTCTTTTTCAGGCCATTCTGCAGGAACAGCTGAATGATTCAACATACTCCTCACGTAAAATAATCTAGATACCACTGGGTTACAGCACTTCTGATGCAATGGCAAGAAGAGACTAAAAAGCCTCATCATCACTAAAAGAAAGATACAGTCCCATCTTTTCAAAACTTCTTAAGTATGTTCACTCCTTCACTTTAGCACTGGGCTAATTAAAGTCTGTATCTTGTCATTAAAAAAATATCTTTTTCTTTTGGACCAACTACAAGAAAATCAAATCAGAGACAAAAAGACCCCTACCTTCACCCTCCAAATCAACACAGATTCCTAAAGATCTTTGAGAAGTCCAACCATTACATCACTTACCACTTCATTACCAGATGAAAACACCACGCAAGAAAGAAGCAGCCGGAATATTTCTCAAATTAGGGCCACAGAAAAGAAATTTGATTTTATTGAAGTACCTGCAGATACCAGAAGCCCACCAGAAGGGAATAGAAGCACACTCTCCACAGGCTGGCCATGTTCTATTGTCATGACGCTACTTTTTGTTCGTGCATCAAATAGTTTCACCGTGTGATCATAAGAACCTGCAAACAACACCATAAATAGCTTCAGTTTCATCATTTCAATTATTTCAGGAACTAAAAGAGCCATGTCCTACAATCTAAAGGAACTCCTGCGAAACGGCAACAGTTTTAAACCATACATTAGAACACCTTGTGGTTTAACCTGGTTAATTTACAGCCTTCGGGCAACTTAAGTCTTCTAATTCTAGCCCTAGCAACATGTCAGGCCTTAAAAGTAATTTAAGTCTTAATTTTATTTCCCATCCATTAATCAAGTGTATTTATAACAATAAGTATCAGGCAACCTGATGAAACCTAGTCTCTTGTGCCACCTGAAGTAAGGAATACTATTTTTTTCACTAGCAATTTATCACAGATTAATAGAAAGCTAGTGCTTGGAAAACCGAAAGCAACCGGTTTCAAATAACTCCTCTCACAACCTTTCATTTTTGAGTCTGCCAGTTTGGGGCTGTACAAACTACAATGAAACTTGTGTCCTCTGGAAACCTGATAAAACACTTCAGTCAATACCAACTAAAGGATACATTCACAAGATTTTCTTAAAACTTTCAGAGGCCAGTCAGAACAGTCCCATTAATCCTAAGAGGCTAAAGAAAAAAGATGTTAAAAATTAGTTCACTCAGAGTTTCCCTA